TTAAAGATGATGTGCCAAGTGTGGTGGTACCCAGCTATAATCTCAGCACTTAGGAGGCTGAGGCCGGAAGACCATTGCAAGTTCAAGACCAGCCTGATCTTCAAAATGAGCCACGACCTAGCTGTCCAGGTGTCACATGCTGTGCTGGACCTAACCGTGGCTCTAACAGCTGAGTTGTCTTTTGGTGATAAACCACTCAATCCTGCCACATACCTACCCATGAAACTGAGCCCACCAGACGACAACTGCCTGGTACTAACTGAGGAACTGTTCTCTAGCTAGCCTGACTTATAAATAACCATCCTGACGGATGCTGAGTGCACCCTGTTTATGGGTGGAGCAGCTCTGTGAGGAATGGAATCCGACAGGCTAGACCTGCTGTGGTCTCTTTGGACAAAGCTATTTTGGCCAAAGCTCTCCTGCAAGGTTGATCTGTACAGCAAACAGACTGCTTCCTACTGCTGTCTGGAAACCCACCAGATCAATAAAACACCTTGAGCCACAAAAGAAAAAAGCCACAAAACCCCATGCCTAGCTGACATCAGCTGCATTATCTCTCAATGATGCCAAAACTGCACACAAAACAATCCAGTTCAGAGCCCTAAGACCCCTCCAGGGATGCAATTGACTGAAACATCACCCTTTAAAAACACTGAAATAAAGCCTTCTAAGGACCACAGATATCTAATGGTGCTTATATGCAGCTACTCAGGCTGGCCCAAGACATTCTCTACCCACACTGAGAAGATAACATAAGTTTATAGAGTCCTGCTATGAAAAATCATTCCTAGATCCACAAAACTCCAAAAAAGTTAAAAATAAATAAAAACACAACCCTACAGGAACAGCCTGTAACCAGCTCCATAAAGGTTTAACCAAAAGACCAGCTATTCCTGGAGATACCCCCTGCACATACATACAACCCAGGTGCACATTAACTACCTCTACAAGTTTTAGAAATCCAGCCTTAGATCCACCATTCCAGAGTAAAAAGAGCCCAGACATTACTGGAGAGTTTACCTGGATCAGGCAGCTCCTCTGAAGCTCACTCTGAAGAGATGACACTCTCTCCTAGATCAGATTAATTCCTTCACTCCCCTGCCAGAGCAGTGTTACAAAGCAGATAGGCCTAAATGTCTCTTCTTAAAAGTGACTCAGATAACAATGGCAAACCACAAACTCCTGGTTGGAAAACTTTCCAATCTTGGGGGCTTTAGCTAGGGCCCATCCTGGGACAACTGACAACCCTAATGTTACTACTCCTAGTCAGGCCTTGTATAATTAATTGACTTACTGGTTTATGTCCAATGGTCACATACAACATGTCCAGCAAAGATCTGTCAGGAAACTAAGAGGGGGGAAATGTAATGGAAAATGTGCACCCCCCCCCCACACCGCCACCAGTATACTTTAGTTTCTGTTAGATGCACAGGTAACAGTTCTTGTTACTCCTGTTTGTTAGGAACGGCTGGTCACTGTGATACACAGCCAGTCATCATGATGCCTATTGTAAGAACCAATCAATAACCACCAAATACTTTGCTTCTGTACTTCTGCTCACTTATCTCATATAAGCCCCTAACTACTAAGGATCAGGGCCTGACATTTTGTAAGGATTGATTCCTTGTCAGCACTTATGTAAATAAATCCAAATCCTGGGTGATGTTTTGATGTTTCTGTTTGCTGCAGTGTTTCTACTTCCAAGTTTAAGTCTAGTCAAACATAAGCATGCGTAAGTAACAATAAGGTATATCCTAAAAAACCAAAAAAAAAAAAAAAAAAGGAAAAAAAAACTGCTCAATGTTTCAGGAGTGCATGGCAACATCAGTGTGGCTATTCACATATGTATCACTGATACAAGAGAAGACCACTGAAACCAGCCTAGAGAACACAGGAATATATACCCCTGGTAACCCAATGTCATCAGGATGCAATTTCTTTCTCTGTCTCTTGGCTGCAGGTTTGTCCCTCCACATTCAGCAGGTCTTCTCTCCCCCATGACCCAGAATTCATTCTTTCAAATTTCCATCCTGCAAAAAGGAAATGTTTTTTTCTCCGCTGGACAAGAGAATCAAGTCCTGGCTTGACTCTCCTGTATCCCTAGCACTGACATAAGCCAGCACAATGCAAATGGCTGGAAGGACTTATTGGCTTCACCTTAAAGCACCCATTATCTAAGGACAGAATAGCCTACCTCCAAGAAGCACTTTACTGAGAATGAAGTCTGGTAGCCTGAAAATCTGAGGTTGTTATGGAATCAGAGTGAGTAAATGCTGAGAAACTCATGGCTTGATCCTATGAAGGTGCCTCACCTTACCAGTCTGTACTTGAGTGCCTGCCCACCCCTTTCTTTCTCTCCCCCGACTCCCCACTCTATACTGGGGATTGAATCCAAGAGCTCTCTACGACTGAGCTACAGCCTCAACCCTTTTTATTTTAATAAGACAGAGTTTCACTAAATTTCCCAGGCTGGCCTTGATCATGCCGTTTTGGCCTTGATCTTGCATGGCCACAATCCCCATCCAGGTGTGATGAGATCTCCCTGGAGGAATGGAATCCAGTACCAGGGACCTGTCTCTGATCTCCATCCAGGCCACCTAAGGTCAATCTATGGGAGTCCTGGGCACTCTTCGGTGCTAGCACTTTAGGGGAGACAAAATTACAGAAATAATAGGTGCTTCCTTAGTTTCCTGTTGGTCCTGTTAACAAAGGATCAACTGTTTAAATACAAATTAATTATTTTAAGTTCTGGAGGTGTCAACACTGAAATGGATCTCAGTGGCTAAAATCAAGATGTTGGTAGGACCATGCCCTTTTTGGGGTGCTATAGGAGGACCCTATTGTCCTGCCCTTTGCAGCTTCTAGGGGCTGATGGCACTCCTTGCTCATTACCCACTTCCACCTTTAAAGTCAGCAACAGCTGGCCAGGCCTTTCCCACATACAGGGGCCTCCCTTGGGCAACATTTAAAGGCCTCTGTGCTCCTATCAGGCTCACCAGGATAGTTCATTGTTGTTTTGTTTTGTGTTTGGTGATGCTGGAATTGAACTCAAATCCTTTGCACTGAATGGTATTATATCCCTGGCTCTTTCTGTTTCATTTTATGACAGGATCTTGATAATTTGATCCTCTGGCCTTGAAATTTGATCCTCTTGCTTCAGCCTCCCTAAAATTGCAGGCTGCCTGCTTGATTCAGTCTCCCTTCATTTCTTTCCTCCTCCTGTTCCTCTGTGTGTGTGTGTGTGTGTGTGTGTGTGTGTGTGTGTGTATCTGTCTGTTTCTCCCTCCCTCTCTCTTCAGTACTGAGAAAGGGGCTTTCCTTTATACTAAATCTCCAGCACTTTCTAAGTTTTTGTTTTAAATCTAGAGGTACAACCTTAACACCACCTGCAGCCTTCTCCCACCTTGCCATGTAATATAACTTATTTACAGGTTCCCAAGGATGTGGTCACAGACATGGGAGGGGGCTGTCATTCTGCCTATTACCAACAGAGAAGGCCTCCCCAACAGAGGCTACATGCTCTAGAACTATTCAGCGTGCTGGGATTACAACTGTGTGCCACCCCTGGCAGGGGCTATTCCTTCAAGTGGACAGATGAGCTGCTAGGTGGATTCCAAATGAAACTTTGGAGTCTGTGGGGGATGCAGCTCAGCAGGAAAGCAATTGCCCAGTAAGGCCCTGGGTTTGATCTCCAGCCCTGCAAAAAGCAAAAAATCAGAATGAAAAAAAAAACTTTTACCCAACTCTCTTCTGTAGGCTACTTCTCCAGATTAGATTTGGGAGAGAGGTCAGGACTAAGGTGACATAACTAAGGCAAGTGTGAGTGCTCTCACCAGAGAGTAGCTGGGTTTCAGAGAACAATGAGAAGCTGTGGTGACCTCACTTGAACCGGTGAGGGGTGCTAAACTGGCTAGCGCTGCAGCTGAGAGAGGGCGTCAGTTTTAATCTGTGACAACTACTTTCCAGGCTCAGTCCATCTATCTTTGCTTATGTGGCTGCCGGGCTCCTGCATCTCTTGGGCTGGGCTCCATCACCCCCTACCCCTTAGAGTCTGTATGACACTGTGTAAGTGGCCCTACCTTCTCTGAGCCTGTGGTTTCTTAGCTATTAAATGTGGATGACATCACTATACAGCTCATGTAACTATGAAGAACCGCAAGCGCTCAGGTAACATTCAAGGGAGTGAGGACCAAGAGCCTGAAAGCAGCTGCAGCAAGCACTGGCCCTGAGACTTGAGAGAGGGGTGGAGTTGAATTTTGCCCTTACCATAAGCCCGCTGCATGTATTTAGACGAATTATTTAAATTTCAGAAGGCCCGGTCACTAAATACATTTATAGTGTGTTTAAGTGGGGCTATTAGCACAGCACTCCTAGGGTACAAACGTGCAGTTAGATGTCCACACGCAACTTGGCTCAGTGCTCCCCTGTGCAGGAGCTCACACCAAGGAAAGGTAACATAAGTCACCTGGAGGGGCTGTGGGCTCATGCTCTCTGGGCGCCAGGAGCCAACTTGACTGGAGAGGAACTGGGGAGTCCTCCAGTGATGTTCAGGGGAGGGCACTCCTGGGCTCAAGCTACTGCCTTTAGCTTGGGGCCTGGGGACCCTATCTATGCTCACTAAGGTGAGACTGACTGGTGGCTCCCGGCCAGCACAAGGTGTTTTCCTTTGCCTGGTAACCGGGAGGTGTGGCTGCGGTAGGGTATGGAGGGGAGAAGCACCATTAAGAAGTAGAGAGAAGCCCCATCCTCGATTCTTCTGGCCCCCGTTAGATGCTGGAGGCAAATCCCACCTGGCTGACAAGAGGGTGAGTGGGAATTGTTAGGAAAAGCACATCAGGGATAAGGGCTTGAAAAGTCAGCGGCTCCTCATGGCCTGCGGGGAGCCTGGGAAATGAGTCCGGCCTGGGGACTGGGGAGAAGCCAGTGGGGAGCTGAATTCCCCAAAGCCAGGACCCCACAGCTCCACATCCTTCCACAGGCCTGGATGTGAGGTCAACACCATGTTTCCCTACGTCTCCTTACCGAGTGTGGAGGGCTGCTGGGCACCGCCGCAGCACGTTGTCTACACCTTGCTGCCTGGTGCGCTGCTGCTGCCACCAATTGCGGCCCACGACTTCTGCAGCCGGCCGTCCGCCCTGCGGGAGGTGCACTGCTTCCACGGCGCGCGCACGCCGCCCTGGTGGCTGTGGCCTTGCCCACCGCTCCCCGCCCCCGGCGCCGGCACCTGGTGCCAGCCGCAACCCGCAGCCAAACCCACAGCTGCAACCGCAGCAGTGGCCGAGGGTGCAACGCTGTGGCCCGAAGGCGCCAGCCTGCAGGCGGAGCTGCGCTGGGGCCGCGTGGAGCGCGCGCGGGGGCCGCCCCTGAGGCTCCCTGACGCCGTGCGCCGGGAGCTGCGGCGCGCCTACGGCACTTACCCGCGCACCGACGTGCACGTCACCCGCCGCGGGGGCGAGTTCCTACTGCAGGCCGCGCCGCGCGCGGGCGAGCCCGAGCACCGCGTGGAGAGGCGTGTGACGCGCCGGCCGGACCCCAACGGCCGCGGTGACAGCAGCCCCGCCCGGGGAGCCAGGGCGCGCGGCCGCCCCCAGAAGAGCAGAGGGCCGAGCTGAGCGCGCGCGTCTCCTCCCCACGCACACGCGTTCCGCCGGGCGCGCGTGCCCCGCACGGTCTAGATTCTGCCGCGTTGTGGCTGCGCATTGCAGAAAGGGAAAAAGAAGTCGAGAGATCCCTGGGTATTCTGTTCCTCCTTCTTGGTCCCCAGAGCGCCGCAGCGAAGTGGAAGAGGAGCTTGATTCTGTTTCCGCCGCCTCCTCTCCACCCTTCCCTATGGACTCCCGGGCACTGAGCCCTAACTTTCGCTTCCTCTTTTTTGTACCAGAGTCTCCCCTCCCCCGCCTCAAGGCCCAGGCTGCGGCTACAATCCCCACCTTGTAAAGAGAGGAAAATAAATGAAATCAAGTGTTCGCTGTGAGAAAGTAGCGCCTTGATCAGCAGGCCAGGTTCTCCATCTCAGTAGTCTCCCCGCCAGCCCCAGCTGGACAGTAGAGGCACCCAATACCTCCTGCCCCACACCCAAGTTGCATGCTCCTTTGGTGTCCAGGCATGAATGGGAAGCAGGCCTGAGACTAGGTTTAGCCTCCCTGACACTCAGTTTTTTCTGTGAAAGAGGCATAAAACTAACCATATTGGAACCATATTGGAAGTTAAGATGAATGTGTGTGTGAGAGGGAGACTATCTCTTTCACTTTTTTTTTTTTTTTTTTTTTTTGAGACAGCGTCTCCCTGTGCAATCCAGGCTGGCCTCTCACTCACTGCCATCCTCCTGCCTCAGCTTCCTAATACTGGAATTACAAGTATAAGCCACCATCACCACAAATGTTATTTCCTGTCTCCCAATTCTTGCTAACAAGAATTCTTCTTTTTTTTTTTCCCCTTTGTGGTATCAGAAATTAAACCCACAGCCTCACACATGCTAGGCAAGCACCTTACCACTGAGTTACAACCCCAGCACTTTTCAGTTTTGAGAGAGGTTTTGGCTAAATTGCCCAGGTTAGGTTGGAATTTGTAACCCTGCTGCTTCAGTTTACCAAATAACTAGGATTACAGGTGACCACTCCGTCACAGTATTTACCAGTACTGGGGATTGAACCTAGGGTCTGAGTACCAAGCATCCCTGGACCTTTTTATTCTTCATTCTTTATTTTGAAAGAGAACCTCACTAATTTGATAAATTACCCTAGCTGGGCTCAATCTTTTTTTTTTTTTTTTTTTTTTTTTTTTTGTCTTTTTCCTTTTTATCGGTACCGGGGATCGAACTCACGACTGCCTGCTTGCAAGGCAGGCACTTATGCCGCTGAACTAAATCCCCAGCCCCTGGGCTCAATCTTTTAATCCACTTGCCTTAGCTTCCCAGAATGGTGAGATTACAGCTGTGTGGCACCATGCCTGGTTCCAGCACGGTCTTCCCCCACCACCCAGCAGAGTGTATTCTGTTTCTTTTAAAAAATCTTTTCCTTTTTTTATTATATATATATATATAAATAATTTTTTATCCGTACCAGGGTCAAACTCACGACTGCCTGCTTGCAAGGCAGGTGCTTATGCCGCTGAGCTAAATCCCCAGGGCCCCCCTCTTATTTTTCTTGAGGCAGGGTCTTAGTAACTCCCACAAACTCATCATCTCACTTCACCCTTCTGGGTGCTGGGATTACAAGCATGCACCGTTACAGCCAGCCTGTGTTTAATTCTTAATAGGTGAAGTTTGCAACTTTCTAGAATTTCCTGCGGCAGGGCACACATATCCCATTTTAACAGTGATTTAGCCCAGGCTGGATACATGTAGCCCCATGTGAAACTGGTTTTACTAAGCAGCATTTGTAGTTGATCTGAGCATATAAGTTTATTACTAAAGGTAACAATGAGGTATTTATCAGTTTTATGGTGAAGTTCTCTCAAACCTTGTTTGAAAAGTTGTAGGGTTTTTTGTTTTGTTTTGTTTTGTTTTGGCGGTACTGGGGATTGAACTCACAACCTTGCGCTTGCCAGGCAGGCGCTTATGCCACTGAGCTAAATCCCCAGCCCTGTTTTTTTTGTTTTGTTTTGGTTTGGTTTTACTTTGGGACAGGATTCTCACTATGCAGTTCAGGCTGGCCTTGAGCTCACTTTGTAGCCCAGGGTAGTTTCAAACTTGCAATGATCCTCCTGCCTCAGCCTCCCGAGTGCTGGGATTACAAGTATGCACCACCACCACTCCTGGCCTCTTGTTTTCTTTTTTCTTTCTTTCTTTTTTTTTTTTTGGAGACAGTCTTGCTATATAGTTCAGACTGAACCTTAAATTACTATGTAGCCCAGGCTGGCCTTGAACTTGAAGATTACAAAAATGTGTACCATCACACCCAGTTGTGTTGGGTGCAGGCGCTCAACACACCCCGCCCGGGAGGATAAGACCACGTCAGCTTCTGCAATGCGCTACGTCCCTCTTTAAATTAGCCAAGCCTTGCGCACCTCGTGCTCACTCCGTATTCGCCCCATGCCGACTCTGTGGCAACCCCTGATTGGCCACAGCTGGATATAGTAGCCAGAGCCTGCGTCCCATTCCCGCCCTGCTTCCTCGTGGCAGCCTGTGATTGGTCACGGCCAAATATATAAACCAGAGCCCGTGTAAATAAAGCAGCAGTTAACTGTCGCCCACAAGAGCGTCTCCTGTCTCATTGGGGGGCTGCACCGGTCACAGCTGGAAAAGGTATTTCTTCTGATAAATGGTTTGCTTCTATTGTTTAAGCACCAAGGACCTCAAAACTGATCATACTCTCTACCCTCATTTCCAGAGGATTCAGAAACAAATTTGCTTAACCTATTATTAAACAGCTTGTGAATTTTATTATGTTGTTTTCATCTTTTTACTTTCTTTTCTAAAGAAAATTATTAAAACACAAGGAGATGATCTGGGAATCATTCAGTGACGCAGTGCTTGTCTAGCATGTACAAGGCTCCAGATCCAACTCCTCACTCAACAAATAATCACAAGGAGGCAGAATGGTGTGATGGTTCTGCCGTATATCCTGGAAAATTTAATTACAAGACTAAACTCCTGAGGGCTGGGGATTTAGCTCAGCGGCATAAGCGCCTGCCTTGCAAGGCAGGAGTTCGATCCCTGGTACCGATAAAAAGGAAAAAGACCAAAAAAAAAAAAAAAAAAAAAAAAAGACTAAACTCCATATACTGGTATATACCTGTTATCCTAATACTCTGAGGCTGAGGCAGGAGGATTGCATGTTCCAGCCCAGCCTATCTGGGTTCACATTTGGGAGGCTGAGGCAAGAGAATCATTTGCAAGTTCAAGACCAGCCTGGGCTACAAAGTGAGCTCAAGTTCAGCCTGAACTGCACAATAAGACCTGGGCTCAAAAAGATAAAAAAGAAAAAAATCCTGGGTTCAATCAAAAAGTACTATAAAAAAGTGCAGTCGGGTGTGGTGGCTCATGCCTGTAATCCTAGCAGTTGGGAAGCTGTGGCAGGAGGATGGAGGATGAGTTCAAGGCCAGCCTGGGCTACTCAGGGAACTCAAGGCCACCCTGAACTACACAGCATGACCCTGTCTCTCAGAAAAGAAGAAAAAAAAAACCCACAAAAAACACACCACCACCAAAGTTAAAAAGGTAACTGATGGGAGTTTCTTCAAGCGAGTGACCTGTGAATAAGGGGAGCTCAGCATGCAAACAGAAGGGAGCTGGGAAAGGGAGCCCCGGGCTGGATAAATGTAGCCCCTTGTGGAAACTGGTTTTACTAAGCAGCCATTTGTAGCTGATCTGAATCCATAAGCAGAGCAAGTACAAGCGCCATGCTATGCCCAGGCTGCATTTTAGGCACAGGTGACAGCAGGGAAGCAATCCTTGGGGAGCTCATATTAGAAGTGTAACAGAGAAGCAGAACTGAGAGTGGAGAGGTGACTGCAGGACAGATGTCAGCAGTGCCAGCCTGCATTCGAGTTAGAGCAGCCTCCCTGAGGAGATGGCGATGGAATTCAGAACTCTCCATAGGCGCCCCCAAGAGGAAGGGCAGGCCTGGGAGTCTGTGGTGAGTCCTCTGCTCCATGAGTTGGCAGGAAGATTAGTGGCAAATGCACATGTTTTTTTATAGTGGGCATGGAACTGAGGATCTCATGCTTCTGTGTTACTGAGCTATATCTTCGGCCCAGTAGTGGCAAAGGGTGCTAGAGTCAGGTGTCATGGGTGCACACTTGTAATCCCAGCACTTTGGGAGGCTGCAGCAGGAGGATGCTAAGATCAAACCCAGTTCAGGCAATTTGTCAATTTAGTGAGATCTTGTTTCAAAATAAAAAATAGAAAGGGCTGGGGTATAACTCAGTATGAAGGCCATGGGGAAAGAAAGAAAAAATGTGGTCTTTTGCTGGTAATCCTCTATCCATTAAGTATAAAATCCAAAAATCCTCAACAAGACTCCAAGGCCTTACAGGCTCTGGTTTCATTTCTAATTTTTCTTTCTTTCTTTTTTTTTTTTTTAAAACAAGACTTCACTATGTAGTCCAGGCTGGCCTCAAAGTGATGGTAATCCTCCTGCCTCAGCGTCTTCAGTGCTGGGTTCAGAGCCATGCACTGCCATACCCAGGTTTGGATTTCACTGTTACCAGGTGGAGGGGGTATAAGCAAGGCAGTCATGTGATCAGGGTGGGAGGTGTGTGTATTACTGGGGATTGTGGGTGGGAGACCAGATAGAACTGAGGCCTAACTGGCCTCCTATATGAACACTGAGGAGAAAGGTTTTAGGGAAAAGTTAGCACAGCTGAATCCAGTTGATTACCCAGCCTTGCACCATGGATGGTGGGAGGCAGATGAATCTTGCGTTGCTCTTATGACTTGTACCTGTGTCTGAGTGAATAAAGGCAGAATGTGTTAGACACTTGGGGCTCTTTGCTAAGGGAGACAAGAGCCCTCTGGTCCCCCACATTTTAACCCTAATTCGGTGTCTGTTTTTCCTCCTTGTTCACTCCCTTCCCCCAAGTACAAACTCATAGGCCGGCTCCTCCAGGGGAATGAACGCAGATCCTTCACCCTGAGCCTGAGCCCCAGCCCCAGCCCCAGCCCCTCTTTCACATCTTGGCTCTTTCACTCCTCCCTTCCCTTTCTTCCCTTCCTTCCCTTCTTTTTTGAAGCCAGGATCTCACTAGGTAGCTCAGGCTTGCCTCAAACTAACCCTCCTGTGTCAGCCTCCTGGAATTGAATGTATATGCCACCATGCCTGGCCAACTCCCCATTTTTGATTTGATTATTTTCCAGGCTGGGATAAACTTGAGATCCTCCTGCCTCAGGCCCCCACTGAGCTGGGATCACAGGTGTGCACCACCTGTGATTTTCAAATTCCCCCTGTGGCTGCCATGGGGAGAGGTTGTAGAGATGGCTGTGAAAACAGGAAGAGTGGGGAGGCAGTTTCTGAAGTAAAACAGGCAAAAGAATAGGGGGTTTGGGCCAGGATTCAGCTCAGCAGCACAACCACCTGCACAGCAAGCGCAGGGCTGTAAGTCTGATCCCCACTACCAAAAAAAAAAAAAAAAAAAAAAAGAGGGCTTGATTGATTTCATTTAGAAGTAGTGAGAGTGACAGAAAAAGAAATGTCCTGAGATACACCTTTTTGTTCACATACATAAAGGTCAAATTGTAGACTCTAAAGTCTTAGAATTACCTATTGAATCACTGAACAATGATACCCCAATAGTAACACACACAAGCAGCACCCTAGTTTTTTATTTATTTATTGACACAGAATCTCTCTATGCAGGTCAGGCTGGTCTTGAACTCACTACATAGCCCAGGCTGGCCTCCAACTCACAGCAGTCCTCCTGCCTCAGCCTCTCAAATGCTGGAATTACAGGCATACACAATGCCTGGCCTGGCCATAGATCTTGGATTCACAACCCCATTCTTAACTAAAAATAACCAAACGCTCATCAGGGTAGGGTGGTGCAGACATGTAATCCCAGCATTTGGAAGGCTGAGACAGGAGGATCACCATGGGATCACTAGCCTACCAGTTTCAAAAAACAAAAAGATACTAACAGGTTGAATTAAAATAACTCATTGAATAAAGTCTATAAACTGGGCATACTGGCACATGGCTATAATCCTAGCTGAGGCAGGAGGATTATGGATTTGAGACCAGCATGGGCTACATAGCAAGACCCTGTTTCAAGAAAAATATAAAAATCTATGAATCTGTAAATCCATAGTAGTAGTAACTGTG